TTAGTAGAACATCCGCAATCCAACGGTCAAGCCGAAGCGGCTAATAAGGTGATCCTCACTGAGATAACGAAGCGATTGGGAGACGCCAAGGGAGCTTGGGCCGAGGAATTGTTAGAAGTCCTGTGGGCTTATCGGTGGACCGACTCGAAAGTCATAGCAGAGCAAGTAAATGACAACTTCCAGGTTAAAGATTCTAGCTTGTTGAAATACTATCATTTGTTTCAAAGAATGCGGAGTACTTTTGATGAAGTCCAAGTAAGGCACACGCCGAGAGAACATAACGAGAGGGCTGATCAGTTAGCTCGGTTAGCAAGCAGTACTCGGAAACCTGGACAGTTACGAACTACACTTCACCTAGACCTTACAACTCCGAGTGTAACACCTACCGAATGCATGACGGTTGGGGAGCCCACTCGAACATGGATCACCGATATAACAGATTACCTTGAACATGGCAAGGAGCCATCTGACCCATTTGCCGCCAAAAAACTCCGAACACAGGCAGCCAGGTATTCAAATGTTGGAGGAGAGTTATACCGCAGAGGTTTTTCGGTCCCACTATTGAAATGTATTGATTCGGTACAAGCGAACTATGTCTTGAGAGAGATTCATGAAGGAATGTGAGGTTTTCACTCAGGAGGACGAACCCTAGCCACGAAGGTGCTTCGGGCGGGGTATTATTAGCCAACCCTCAAGGATGACTGCGCAAAATTTGTTAAGCGTTGCGTGTCATGCCAACGGCACGGCAATCTTATTCATGCTTCAGCTGAAGAGCTACATGGTATTAGCTCACCTTGGCCATTTGCAATGTGGGGCATGGATATCCTCAGACCATTCCCAATTACTAAGGGCCAGTGCAAGTTTTTATTAGTTACTGTAGACTACTTTACAAAATGGGTCGAGGCTGAGCCGTTGGCCAATATCACAGCTGCCAATGTCCAGAAGTTTTTGTGGAAGAACATCGTTACTCGCTTCAGCATTCCACATGCCCTCATAACTGACTATGGTCTGCAATTCACCGATCAAAAACTCAATCGATTTATTCAAGATCTCGGCATTAAACACATGTTTACGTTAGTAGAACATCCGCAATCCAACGGTCAAGCCGAAGCGGCTAATAAGGTGATCCTCACTGAGATAACGAAGCGATTGGGAGACGCCAAGGGAGCTTGGGCCGAGGAATTGTTAGAACGATTTTGGTGGTCGCTAAATTGCATATTTTTTGTAGTGTACAACTTAGAACCCAAGGCTTACAAAGTCTTTCAACTACAAATAGAAAGTATTGTCATAAGTAAGGACGTGCACTTTGTGAAAAATTGGGAGTAGAAAAATCAATCCTCAAATCAATTAAAATTTCCTATCACAAATGTTGAAGAACAAAGAAATGAAGATTGGCAAAATGAGATGGTGGATGGCATTTTGATTAAAGGCACTAGATTGCTTACTAATATTTATCATATTTGTAACCATCACACTTTGTGAGTCTACAAGTTTTAAAGAAGCAAAGCATGATCAAAATTGGATGGTTGTAACGGAGGATGGAGCTACACATAATATTCAAAAAAAAAATACATGGCAACTTGTAGACAAACCTCAACAAAGTCATTAGGGTCAAATGGGTGTTTTGAACCAAACAAAATGTAGATGATTTAATCAATAATCTCAAGACAAAACTTGTGGTTAAAGGTTATGCTCAAATTTTTGGACTGGAATATTTAGACACATTTACATCAATTGCTACGTTAGATACCATCAAGTTACTACTTGCTATTGCAACATAAATGGGCTGATAAGTGTACTAGATGAATGTTAAGTCCACATTTTTGAATGATTTCTTGCATGAAGAAATTTATGTTGAGCAACTCGAAGAATTTGAGAAGAAAGTTCAAGGCTAGGTCTACCTTCTCAAGAAGATCCTCTATGGATTGAAATAATTTCCAAGAGTTTGGTACAATATAATCGATAATCATCTACTAAATTTAAGCTTTGTGAAAAACTTATTTGAGTCCACTCATTGCATTGATAATGTCATTTGAGTTTCTCTTTATTTACACCTTTCATTTTTTATGTGGAAGCAAAACTAACAACGCCTAACTATTTTCTTTCGTTTTTTGTGAAATATTAAAGCTTATTGGGGTTTTTTTATGGCACTCAAACAAACTGCTGTTGTTAATCGTGGGACGTGGGTCTCTATGCACCATACCATGGTTCGTGTCCGTCGTAAAGGATTTGATCGAGTCACAATTTTTCATAGCATTTAATTATCGTACTCGTTGTGATTAAATCAAGGTTTTCCATATTGTTTCAATTAGAAAAGGGTCTCAATAATTCAATTTATGGAACTGGATCCTCTTCTGCTCTACCTCTCTCCATCCCCTCTCCCGCAGACTTATTAACCATTCGATACATCTAATGAAACTATGGAAGAGATTAATATAATTATGATATTTTTATGTATAATATTTACTTTCTCACTAATTGACTATTTTTTTTATTATCAGTTTCGTCAGCTATAGTTTCATAGAGGCAATAGTATAACTTTGATTATTTTTTATTTTATTTTATATTCTCAACTAGTAAAAAATTATTCTATATAGGATTTTTTCAAATAATATTATTTTTAAAGCGTTTTTATAAATTATTATTTTTAAGACACTTTGACCACATCTTATGTTAGAGATGAAAAAATATATATACAATGATGAAAAATGAAAAAAAGACCTTAAATTACACGGGAAAAAAATCATATTTAAACAAAAAAGCTACATGAAATAAAAATAAAATAAAATAAACGAAAAAGAATACCTCTATTTTATTAGAATCGGAAAATTGTTTAAGTTTTTTTTATTTATTTTTTTATTATGTCCTCATATAGGCTTAAGTGACAACTGGCAACTTGGTCAATCTTGTTAAATTTCGGTTTCTTTTGATCATCACAATCACATTTATATTGACTTTGTTAGTGACGATTTCAAGATAATTGCTATAGTATTCATTAACAAGGGCTTTGCAAGATTAGCTTTTCCTCGATGCGAATATGCATTTTTTTTTCTTTTATATATGTATGTATATGATTGATACTCTCCTCATCTCTTTATTAGTTAATATGACCGGTATACTTGTGGGCACAAAGATTGTCGTTTCCTAATATTTTTATACTCGTATCAAAATTTATTACAAGAGAATACAACCCCAATTTAAAAGATATGCAAATCCGCACCCCAACTGCAACTTCTTGTCATTAGGATGAGAACGAGCGGAAAGGGTATGAGTTTTAATATTTTTTTTTATTTTTGTATTTTATGTTTTTGTTTTTATATTTGACAAGTATGAAATGTGTATCTTATTTTTATTTCAGTCAAGTATTGTGTATATTAGTATCTGTTTTGAATCTGTTCAAAAATTAATATTTTTTTTTGTAAAATAATTTTAAAAAATAAATTTTTTAACAAAAAATAATAATTACAAAATTACATTAAATTTCATTTAAAATAAAATAAGAATTACATAAATATCAAGTAAATTCTAAAAAAAATAAATTAAATTTCTAGAAATTTAAAACAAATACATATACAGGACAAATATGTATATACTCCTTTTATCTCCATACACGATTCAATAAATCATATTAGGTATTATGGTACACATGTTTGATTAAATTAAGTAATTTCGTTATAGACGGGTGAGTTCAATCGTTACCCGCACCAGGAGTTTCAGTTTACTTAGAATAATCGAATTTTTACCATGATAACAAACATAAATTTATTTTGATAAATTAAAAGGGATATTTTTAAATACAGAAATGTGATATTTACCTTTTTATCCATAAATATTATTATGAACTAAATTATTTGAACTTTAGACTTTGTGCATACTGTTTATACTTTCCATCAATAAACTGATCTTAGTGTAATTAAATGTAATATTTAATGTTATCATAACTTTTATTTATTAATTCCTTTATTATTGTTCTTAAGACATTTTGAGCACATTTTGTCTCGAAACTAATTTGGACTGTGGTTTCAAAACACCAATTAATTAGGAAAATGTTTGTTCTGTACATGAGATTTTGCACTTATACCCAACCTTCAATAAATCAATAATTGGTTAATAACTGAGGATTATGGACTAATCAGTAACATGATTAACAAGTAACTAAACTATCATTAACGGTATACACCGAAAAAAATTATCATCAACAGTTGAAATATGATAAAAAAAAAAAAAAAAACTACCATTATTAAGTATGTGTATAGAATGGTAGAAATGAATTAATTATCATATATGAAAAAAAATATTACACTCTCTGAATTTTAAGGTGCGGGTACATACTTCAATGAGATATATGTACAGTCATATATCATATGCTCATTGGTATCTAGTTTCTTTTTTTTCATCTCTTTCTCCATAGTATCATATCATTCAATATAGTTTCACTTTTCTCTCTAGTCTTTAAGTAGAGATTAACAACATCTCGAACAAGTGGAGTTGCCTCTTCTTGTTCGTCCACATAAATTCATTGTCATAAACCAAAATTTTAGATAATTAACTCAAACATTTAGCAAAATATCTTTTCATAATTATCTCCTAAAATACTGAATTATTATAATTAGATACATTAATTATTTTTATCTTATTGGTAAGAGGATCTCTGTATTAAATACACAATATTCAATTATTAATGGATAAATATTCTCATATTTGAAATATACAAATCTCAGACATATATAATAATAAGAATTAAACACCTATAAGAACATCAATTATTACTCTAACCCTAACTTATATTCTACATCTAAGTTATGTTGTAACAAGTGACGGAGCATCTTACATGTGTTAATTTCTAGTGCCATTGTTGGAGAGTGAAGGCCATGAACATGATCCCTCTCAAGCACTTGCGGAGTGGAGTCAGGTAGCGACAGCAAGGAAAGATTAAAGAAAAAATGTAATAAACATGATGAAAATAAAGGAAAGATGGAAAGGAAGTGTAGAAATAGAAATATTAAAAAACTGCATTAATGATACAATCTAAAACGATGACAAGAGAGACCTACAAATAACTGATCTGATCTACTTATTTACTCTTAAAGGTACAATGTAACTAATTAAGAAACTAAAGAGCAAAGAGTAATTAAATAGGAAAACAATAATGTCGGGTACAAATTAAGCAGCAAAAAATGTTCAAGCAGGTAACCAAGCAGAGGCAAATACGACATTGTGTCCTTTCCAAGTGAGCACAATGTGTTCATCTTCCTTCTTCAATCCCCACCCCGCAGCATGTTCATCCAGCATGGCCTTCACCTCCGCCACAGAGTCCTCACTGAAAGCCACCGCTTGAAAGCTCGCATTCTTCATTCGCTGCTCCCACCTGTTCTTGGGCTCCACCCGCTCCACCCTCTGAACCCCTTCATGCGCTATCACATTCTCAATCTTCCACCCAATGTCCGCTTCGTACCACTGCCTTTGCTTGCTCCCTCGCGGAAGGAACGTGTCCACAGTGTCATAAGGTATCCATAGGTAGTTAAACGCGGATCTTAGTCTGCAAACAAGGTTATTAGAAGTCAAATTCGCATCCTCGTCAACTAAAATCACAACGGTTGGGTCCAAACCCCGCAGGGATTTAAGAAACAACGATCGCAGCGAGGAAGTGGAAGTAACAGCAGAAGAAGAATCGTAGAGGAACGAGGTTAAGTCTGTTTCGTGAATCCCAGATAGGGTTTCGTCAGGGATGTAATGAAGCATCATGTGACAGTTAATGACCAAAGCTTCACTTGGACGAGGTTCCCCAGTATAAAGCAAGTGCTGCTGTTGCACTCGTAAGTGTTCAATCAAACCCGCGAACCCGTCTTGGTAACTGGAAGAAACCACTCTGAATTCCATGACCACGTTTCTGGACCTAGCGAAATTGACCAACTTGGCGCCCAGTTCGTCGTAGGAGAGGTCCAGCATGGGAGGGATGTCCCTGAAGCTAGCGTCGGCGACGGTGAGTTTGATCAGCGGCGGCACGTCGTGGCGGCTAGCGACGGCGTCGATGAGCGTGGGAATCTGCATGCAATGCGTTAAGCTCAAGTCGACGATGTGGATGACGGAGAATCCCTCGGTGGCTTCGAGAACGGCGGCGTTGGCGGCGGTGAAGCCGAAGCGGTGCCAGGGGGTTAGGTCGACGAAGTTGGCGAGCTCGATGACGGAGAATTTGTGCGTGTCCATGGTGAGGTCGTCGTTATTGTGTGTGTCCGCGGCGGCTACGGCGACGAGCATGTTGCAGGTGCCAGTTTTGGCGGCGCGGGCGGTGAGGGCGCGGAGGAAGCTGGAGGCGAGGCGTTGGTTGGAGTCGCCGTCAGGGGGTGCTATGTTGTTTAGGACCCATAGGATCTGTTGCGCGAGGGTTACGTCGTTGGTCTCGATGGCGTTGGCGCAGTGAATGAGTAACTGTTCCATGCAGTTGGCGTCACCGAAGTTGGTTAAAGCCTTGGAGGTAGGGAACCCTGCAGGCCATGGCCTAGTCCTAGGAATTTGGTTCTTGTTCATGGTAGGGTTTGGGATGGGTGCGATTTGGTGGAAAGAAGGTGTGAATTGCGTCATGGACAGTGTGTGCGTGTCTGAGGGAGAGATATTGGGGGAGAAATAAAGGGAGAGAGGAAAGTTGATGGAGAAACTGAGTTGCAAAATTAAGCTTACATGTAATATGATATGAATATGATACTATTAGTGGTGGATGTGGGATTTTTGAGTAATTAATGAAAGATGAGAAGAAGGGAAAGTGACCAGACTAGTAGTGGGTACCTTTGCCATTGGGAAGCGATCCAAGTGTGGGTGAAAATTGGCAGTAGAGTTAGGGAGAATTCTGCGCAGAAAAAAGACAGTTCAGCTTTTTCGTGGGGGATTATATTATTTTGGTTAGTGGCAAAAGGGACTGATCGGAGGAGGGGAAACTCTGGTCCCGAGAAAACATATTTGAAGTCAAATTGGGGAAAAGAGACTGTTCTAGGGGAAGTTCAGGCTTTTTCAGATGGCAAAAGGGGTAGTGATGAGAACATCACTTTCATGGCTACAAAAAGTGCTAAGAGAGGGGGAGTGAGACAGATGGTGTAAGTAAATATAAGAGAGAGGATAGTACCTGTAGCCGTAGGAGCACTGCTCGTGTTGGATTTTGGAGGCATGTGGAGCAGCCGGCCAGCGAATTGTTTGTATTTGGGAGTTGGGATTTTGTCATCTAATGGTGGCCACTGTTGATTGTGGGAGGGATTTGAGGCAGTTAAGCTTTTGGCTCACTCTCTCACGGGTCATCACATAATTCAACAAATCATTTTTTCATCACTGCTCCCATGGGGATGTATATACCTATTTTCTTTACCCTTCTCGCTCTCTTCCTGTGAGCCGCTTAACATGGGACAAATTCAAAGCTGCTATAGCTACGGCTCACTTTCCAACTCTCTTTTTTTTTTCTTTGCTTAATTTTAAATTTATCATCAAATATTCTTTTATTTTCAGTAGAATAAAACTTTTAAAAATTCTGTTAAACTGTATTTAAGTAGACTTTAAACCTAACTCTTTTTCAAGTTCACATTAATTGGAGCTTAATATTTTTAATGTAGTAACTTTTGAAATTAAAAAGTTTATATTAGAACAAAATATGATGGGGTGTAATATTAGAATCAACTATTAATTTCTTTAAGAATTTTTAATAGGATTATAAATCATTTATTCTATCGTTAATACAAATTTGTATAGAAGAATATAAAATATATATATATATATAAAAATTCAATCTCAAATCCTACATTTAATCGATAAAATCAATTTAAGAAATTAAATACAAATAATAATAATAAAATGAATAAATAAATAAACATCCCACATAAATAGTATAGTTTATGAAGTATTAGAAAGCAGGATAACATGTTGTGTGGGTACTTACAGAAATGACTAAAATATTGCAGAAAAATAAAGAAAAACATTTCATCACTCAACACCTAAAATTGGGATGTTCAACGTGTTGATATCTCTAGTAATGAGCTGATAATTAAGAAACTCCAGTGTCATAATAGATTATAGTTATAAAGACATCCAATGATGGAAGAAATGGCAACGAGGTTGCAACTGTGTCCCAACTAGCGATGCATGGAATTCCAACATTGGGTAATGGCTTGAATCCTACAACTTATAAATACATGATTTTCAATAAATATATATATATATATATATTCTATATATTCTTGTGCCTCCTTGGTGTGGGAGATTATTAAAATTGAGTTATCTTTAAAGTTGTGCTCTACGGAATGTGGAGCTTCAATGGAATGCGTCATGGATTCTTGTCTTTCTCAATCTTGTACTATGACTTATTTTCATTTTTTTTTTCCTTGTAGTGATTGAATATTTTCTTGGCATTTTATGAGTTGCTCAATTGTATTTTGATTTCATACTTTTGAAATTTCAATTTCATCTTTCCTTACTTAGTGTCATTGGTATGGTTTTACTTTTTTTTTTATTCAATTTTTTTTATATACAAATTTGTCTTTAATGAGATTATTATCTTCAGTTTGAATGACAATTGGTAATCATGTGACTTGAGTTAGAATTATGCAAATTATTGTTTTTAATGAACAATTGATATCCTCATAATAAATTTTTTGTTAGATTGATGACTTTTTCTTAATTTTTAACTTAAAAAAATGTTAATTTAATATTAATTAAATATTATATTATTCTATATTTTAATAAGAATATTTATCAGTAATAATAAAATAATATTATTTTTAATTAATATATTACATTTATAAGGTTATATTATATTTTAATATTCAATTTTTTTGTTCAAAAAAGTTGAACTATTGATTAATATTATTTACTAATTATATTTTAATTTTTTGCACTTAGATGCACAAACTTTCACTAGTGCAAAATATAGAATTTACGTCAGGACTTTCTCATCGGACATAAAAATATCTAACGTAAAAAAAAGACGTGGTGGTAATTTTGAAAATAAATCAAACTTTTTTACGTCAGACTACATAGGGGTTCGACGTAAAATTGTAAATCTACATCGGACAGTAGTCACATCCTACATAAGGTTATGTTTTCTAAGCGAGTTTATGTTTATGTTTATGAAGGGCCTCTCTTTGTCCCAATAAGCTTCACTATATTCGGGTGTCAAAGCTTCCCAACATGCAACCAAACACACTTAGTACATGTTTGGATATGACTTCTGAGTTTAGGATCCATGTTTTCTAACGAATACACGTTCAGAATACCTCAAATGACACCCAAGCAAGTATCTTTTGCTTCAAATTGATCCATGTTCGCTCAAATGACGCCCAAGCATCTGTCTTCCCATTTACTGTCTCCCAAGTATAGTGATAATAAAGGAGGTGGAGGTGGAGGTAGAGATTTTCTTGCTGACAACTATCAAATCATAGCTGAAGCTTGTAAACAGCGAATGGTCAGGCGATTCAATTCTAATCTCACCAAGAGAAGCTTCAAGGAAGGAGATTTGGTATGGAGAGTTCAGGGAACGGCAAGACGTAATCCACGGGAAGGCAAATTGGCAGCAAATTGGGATAACCCATTTCGAGTCCGACACAGCCTCGACAACGGTGCATATAAACTTGAAGAGATCTCGGGCAAAGTCATCCCAAGAACATGGAACGCATCACATTTGAAAACATACTATAGTTAGTTCTTGTAATACGATGACAATGTAATCACAAGAGTGCACTCTTTTCCTTGATCGGTCTTTTCTTCCCTTATAAAAAAGTGAAAAAGGTTTTGGCCGACAAGGTTTTTAACGAGGCACATCATATTAATGAAACACATTTCAACTCATTCTGTGTATTATCTTCATTCAAGCTGTTACAAAAAGGCTTCCCTCCCGAGTTGATCAACTTGGCCAAGGATGTGCCTTCGGAAATTCACGCAAAAGGATTCCCTCCCGAGTTGATCAACTCGGCCAAGGATGTGCCTTCGGAAATTCACGCAAAAGGCTTCCCTCCCGAGTTGATCAACTCGGCCAAGGATGTGCCTTCGGAAATTCACGCAAAAGGCTTCCCTCCTGAGTGAATCCACTCGGTCTTGCCTAGAAAGCAACGCAATTCCGAGTGAATCCACTCGGTCTTGCTCAGAAAACAACGCAAATCCGAGTGAATCCACTCGGTCTTGCTCAGAAAACAACGCAATTCCGAGTGAATCCACTCGGTCTTGCTCAGAAAGCAACG